GGCGGTTGAGTGGCGGCGGCAGCGAGTGGTGGGGAGGGAACTCGGTTGAGGGCGGTGGCGGCTGACGGTCGGGGGATCTGGCGTGGCGTGGACGGCTGACGGTCGGGGGCGTCGAGGGCTGGCGCGGCTGGACGGCTGACGGTCGGGAAATCTAGCGTGGCGTGGGCTAACACTGGCGGCGGCGGCGAGCGCTGGCGCAGCGCAACGAGGAGGACAGCGAGGGAAGGAGCTGCTGGACGGCTGACGGGGGTTAAGGGATGGCGAGTGAACTGATTTCGATTTTAAGTTGTGAGACTGAGATCCCGATTTTTATTAAAAATCTGCGACGGAACATTGCCCGTAGCAGATTTCGTTGCAGATATGCGACGGAATAATTCAACAGTCGTAGATATTTTGTAAAAAATTTGACCAACTTGGTCGTCTCCAGATTTGCGACAATACTCTATTTTCCGTTGCAGATCTGCGACGGAATATGAAATTCCGTCGCAGATTACTTTCATTTTTCATAAATAATTCATCCGTCGCAGATTCGTTGCAGATCCGCTACGGAAATAGGTCCGTAGCAGATTTCCGTTGCAGACCAGACAAATTCTTGTAGTGCATGCCACATCGACCACTATCTTCGAAGACTACCAATATATGAGGTAATTCCCCTAGCATGGCTTTCAACTTCGAGTGAAAGTTAGATTTGATGGATCTTGCAAATATGGTGCGTTCAATTTTATATGTTGTTTTCTTTTATGTTTTTTGCATTGATATTTCATATTATGATATTTTTAATTTTAGCATTGTTTTAAATTTGACAGTGTCTTAATTTATATTCCCCCGTCCGAAAATAATCTTCCCATTTCTCATTTTTCTCTGTCCAGAAATAATCTTCTCATTTCAATTTTTTATACACTATCTACCCAAAATACCCCCACCTACCATTTTCACTCTATCTCTCCCCTCTCTCCTTTCTCTCCCCTCCCTCAATTCCTTGCCATTCCCTTCTTATCTTTTTCTCCTTCTCTCCTCCCTCATCTCTTTTTCTTTATCCGTTCCTCCTCATCATTAGTCCCTCCTTCTCACCTTCCTCTTCTCTTTTTCTTCTTCTTTTCCCCTTCTTCTTCTTCCCCCCTGTTCTTTCTTCAAATCTGTTCCTCTTTCTTTCTTTCTTTCTTTCTTTCTTTCTTTATTTCTTCTTCTTCTTCTTCTTCTTCTTCTTCTTCTACTTCTTCTACTTCTTCTCGTCCCTCTCCCAGATCTACGGTAGATATGTGCTAGATCTCCTTCTCAACTTTCTCCCCTTCCTTTTTCCCTTCCCTTTTCTCTGTCTCCCAGAGATAGAGATGGTGGAGGCTATGGACGATGGTGCGATGGTGGTGAGGGTTGAGGGGCGATGGTGTTGAGGGCTGGGGCGATGGTGGTGAGGGTTGAGGGGCGATAGTGTTGAGGGTTAAGGTGACAATTATGGCAGGGCTGACGGAGATGGTCAGGTTAGGGGCGGTGG